AAATTCTTATTATGCTAATGAGAACCAAAGTAACCGACATAGCTCGCAGAATTGCTAAAATCAAGTGGCAGTGGGCGGGGCACATAGCTCGTAGAGACGATGGCCGTTGGGGCAGGAAAGTTCCGACCACGGACTGGAAGACGTAGCGTGGGCAGGCCTCCTACTAGGTGGACCGACGATCTGGTAAAGGTCGCGGGAAGAGCCTGGATGCGGGCAGCGTAGGACCGTTCATTGTGGAAAACCTTGGGGGAGGCCTTTGTCCAGCAGTGGACGTCATTTGGCTGAGAAGAAGAAGAATTTGAAAAAAAAATCACGTATACTCTGCTCCTATTGGTCATAGTTGTATGACGGCCATAGCCTATCCTATAGCCATAATATTATAGCCTCGATAAAAAGAAAGGACTATGCATTGCAAATTTTTTTTTCAAATCGGACCAGCAGTTCTTGGGACTAGAACATTCAACCAAACAAATACCCTTCATAAAATCAAGTGTAGATTTGAGTGACACAATAATAGATTTCAGAGATCACATGAAACGAAGAATAGGAAAAATCTTTGGCACTATTATGTAGAAGAGAAGACATAATTATCACAGGCCTCCCTGCTGAGGTCGTCGGTCCACCTCGACCACGTCCCACGCTCCACCGTGCAACGTAAAAAGTTCGAACTTCAAAGAGGTTCATCTAGTGATATTTACTTATATCTTCAACTAAAACTTACGACAATAAGTGGGTGAACGTTGGTCATCTCATGCGCAATGGATAGGTAAATACAGTTGCATATCATATTAAAAGAAACAAAACATTGTAAATAAATGTAAAATAAGCAGTAGTTTTTTCTTCTATGAATCGTCATAACCTTAGTGTCAAGTCTAGGAGCTGCCATAGAGGATAAAGCTTATTGGGATTGACAGCTTCTTTGTTTCCTTTAATTAAAGCACAAATTCAATTAAGTTGCCTCCAGGCTGAACGCGCGAGTTTTAACGGAAGCCCATATAACTTCAATCAGCTATCCTTGGTTATATTCTTGGTATTGATCCAACAACCAGTCTTACACTACCTTTGCTACAACTTGGTCTCCATTCTTGAACTTTTTTACTCCATCTTTTGTCGCTTCTGCAAAATATAGCCAGCACATTGTTACTTCAGCTTGATACATTTACGAGTTGAACTCACTCGTATCTTACCAAGAAGTTACACATGGTTTCATCCAAAGGAGTTTATACAGGGTATAAATAATAATTTATCTCGGTTGGCCTTGGCTAGAAGCCATTTTGGCAAACCCTTGCTTGTCAATAAATATGCCTAATGAAACAAAGAAAGTACACGTTGACTAGAGAATTTATTTAATATTGTAAACTTTCATTTTTTATAAATTCTTACTATAACAAACACTACTACGGACGAAAATATTGTGCAAATGCGGGTGGAGAAAATTAATCGCGCCCGAGCAGACGACGCCGCATCCCTTTAGTCTGCCCGCGACCGTGACTCGTGCAACCGAGTCGAAACGTCCGGGAAGGTAAAAACCTTTTTACCTTTTTAAAAGTGTAGTGTTTGTGTGCAATCAAATCCCGTTATAGTGATAATTTAGAGCATTTATAATCTAGAGTTGAAAAGGCGTTAATGACTGAAATCATGATCAACTTTCTTAATAGTACGAGAGCCCACGACCAAAACCATGTCTCATAGCAATACGGCAAAAACCCTATAAAATCGTTAGATTGTATGATTCTGAACCCGACTAGGTGTGTAGTAACGGTCGAAAGTGTAGCAACTGCGTTTCTGCTGTTTCAAAAAAAAAAAGACAGTCGGTATTATNATAGTACGAGAGCCCACGACCAAAACCATGTCTCATAGCAATACGGCAAAAACCCTATAAAATCGTTAGATTGTATGATTCTGAACCCGACTAGGTGTGTAGTAACGGTCGAAAGTGTAGCAACTGCGTTTCTGCTGTTTCAAAAAAAAAAAGACAGTCGGTATTATAGCAATACGTCTGATAGTGAAAATGTACATAGATTTTATAATTGTATTACGAAAAAGTTTGTTTTCAGACATTTTGCGCGTAGCATATAGCCTGAGCGAATTTTTGAAAATGTCAACAAATTTAGCCGACCTGTATACCTTTACGGGTTTGCACTACACCACTAACGTCTGAAAAATATGTTTCCGGTATCTCAGAACTATCATTCAACTACAGTCTGCAAATCAGACATATTGCTATGATGCAGTTCGGTAAAATTCTTTGACAATTCGGTCAGATCAAACGCTACGCGGAAAATGTCTGATATTGTTTTTTTCGAGTTCAGGATAATCGTATCTATCGATTTGATGCGGTTTTGGCCGTATTGCTATGAGACAAAAATTTTGGTCGTGGGCTCTCGTACTATAAAGCACTAGAAATTGGTGCCATATAAACATTTATGTCGACAGGTGATGGTACTTTATTTTGGATTATAACACAGATATTTTTTTTATTTAGTCTGTGATTTACTTAGAAGAGTGTAGTAGCTGTAGGCTCCTTTTATGATCTGTAAAATAAAAAAATATCTTTACTTTCCAATCCAAATAAAGCAATTTTAAACTTGAGATTCAAACAAACTTTTACCAATCGATAAAGTACTGAGTGTAAGCAGGCCTCCCACTAGGCGGACTGACGATCTAGTGAAGGTCGCGAGAAGCATCTGGATGCGGGCAGCGCAGACACAGTCGTTGTGGAAATCCTTGGGGGGGGAGGCTTTTGTCCAGCAGTGGACGTCGTTTGGCTAAAATGAACGAATTGTACTCATTATCTTACGCTCAGGAAAGTAGCCACAGTAAGCTTGGTGAACGGTCCTGCTGAGAAGACCACGACTTGGCTGAACTGAGCCGTGAGGATGTACAGGTTCTTGCGGTGTGAGACGTCTCTGCACCACCAGAGGCTCTCGTACGGACCCTGGCTGAGTTGAAGACTCTGAAAGATAAGGCAATTAACCTAAATGACATGTTAATTTTAATTTAATTTTTAAGCTTGTGAGCGCTTTGGACCTTTTTTTTCGTCAGGAAATGCATGAAATTGCATACCCGCTGGCCCGAGGGAACCAGTGGGTTATGTGGGGCTCTTCCTGTCAAATGGACAGGGCCTACTCACTAAAACCTGACGGTTGTCCTCCCGAAGTCTTTGGGACGGAGCTGCGAGCTATTGTCCGAGCTAGACGGCCTAGACATTCTTTCGCGGCTCCGCCCCAGACTGTGGCTCGCTCTGTTTGGGCAAGCGACGACTGGCTTGACTGCCTTCAGGGGAGTACTACCTCCCCTGTTCTTCGCTAACGGTGCGCGTGAACACCTCCTCGCAGAAGTGGAGCACCGCATGCCATACATCTGGGCTCTAGCATACGAGCCAGGATGTCCCGTAAGGAGAGATCTTGTCCTACCTGTTCCACGAGGATTTCGCGCTCTACCACCCAGGCTTGGTACATTTCGAGTGTGTGCTGCGCGAAATCCTCGATGCCGTCTCGATAATGCCAGCAATTGGCACTTTGCTCCCGTCCTATCCGAAATAGATAGTCGGCGTAACAGCCGTGGCCAGTTAGCAGTTGGGTCGCTCTATAAGAGAGACGACCGTGTTGCCGCCGTACCCACACCTCCAACATCGGATGTATGGCGCTTATGGTACGACGGCCAGCTTTGCTAAGCGCTTTGGACCTGCTCTGTAAGCTTACAAGTGTTTTGCATAAATAAATAAATAAATAAAAGGTGCGCTTTAATAGTGAAATAATTAGGCCGTCAATAAATTTTTAAAGAGGGAAATGCATGCTCATTTCACTAGGACGCATAGTTTCTGATATTTAAACGAAAAACCTAAAAAAGGGATCTTCAAAGTCCCCCCATCCCCGCCGGCTTAAGAGCTACGAGTCCTTTAAATGTTTATCTCCTAACTAGTCTAAACTAAGGTCCGAAGTCAAAAATTGTATTCCAAGCATTTTCTTCTATACTATTTTTTGAATACTTATAAATTGACTGGCATAAATAAAAAATAAATATAAAATAAATTCACGTGACAATAATTAGATTGACATATAAAATTGCTATGATGATATAATATTATTTGTGGTGTCAAATTGACATCCCATTCAACATTGCACGCGGTATTGTGAATTGATTTTTAGCCATGCCGCATTTCAAAATCCAGTAAGTATCAAATTATTTTTTCTATGTGCTAAATAGTAAAATTTATAGATGAAGAAATTAAAAAATCTGTATCAGTCATCATAACACTATTTTAATTTTTATGGTTGTGAGTTTATAGTGTTTTCTTTTTAAATTGATGACTTTATATATTACGAAATTCCTATCCACCACTGCAACTCCTAGGTATAGCTAGGAGTTGCACCATGATTGTCAAAAAAGTTTTAACTAGTGAAGGCCAATTTTACAGCCATTAAATCGAATTTTAAGACTTAGTTTTTGATGAAACACACTTACAGGGTTTTGAAACGAGGCCATTGACCAGATTCCAGGAAGAGCTCATATTATGTTACAATAGCTGTAACCTTTTCCTGAAATAGGAGTATGACACTTACCATCTCGATATCAAATTCGTTTCCCCGTAGTTTGGGGATATTGCCCTGTTATTAAAAGTGAAGGTAGTGTTACAAGTGTAGTTTTATGTCTACCTAATTCGTTAATGCATGTACGAAGTTTAAGTTTTTATGTTATGGCAATTGTCCTTCTATTGTCAAAATCTTATGAACCAAAATAGATATATTTTTCATACTTTTTTACGAAGTCACTGTCATATCGACTATTTTATCGTTCTTGGATGTCGTAAAAGAGAAAATATGCGATCATTAGACCTCTCTAACTTATTTAGAAGGTCAATTCCTCCCCTTTACTTCTGGTAAATTACAAAACTTTTTATGCAAGACAAGGCAGGTAACCGCAAGTGAGATGCAGTCTAGGATGGTTCATATCTGCCCTGTAAGTGCCTATTCACTCTCGCTTTGAAAAGGCCCAGATTATAGTATTCAGGAAAGACAGCAGCAGGCACTTGAGCGAATTCTAGTCCCTAGCTGTTCGCATTATAATAATCCTCCTGAAATGGAGACTAAATGATTTGATGATGTTAAGTGTACACATACTGCATAATAAACGTCGTTGCTATGCCAGCAATAGATGAACAGCTGCGCTATACCGAACACAAGGTACTCAGTAGTCAAGAACTGCTGCATAGCGCTCGTCTCCGACTGAAACAAAATACTAGTTCAAAAATAGGTATTCGTTTTCATTAAAAAACAGAAAAATGCAAAGTAGTTGATGTTAAAGTCGATAGTTGGACCCAATTCAAATTTGTATGAAGAATCGGCCGATACTAAATCGGTGTAATGTGCGCCCTTTCATACTTTACACGTCCATACTGAAACTAATTAACAGCTCGATGCAACTATGGGCCAACTAAAAATCGGTGGTCTGCGCCTATGCTTAGGCTGCATTTCCACTGATGAAAGCTGGGCGAAAGGGAGAAGTGTGATCATCTATCTATCTATATAAATAAAAATGAATTGCTGTTCGTTAGTCTGATTAAAACTCGAGAACGGCTGGGCCGATTTAGCTC